AGGAAAATTTTAAAAGTACTCTTCCCGATATCTACTCATTCCACTGCAACACTCAACTCTGAGAAAAACATTCTGTCATACCTCAATTCCACCGATGAGGCACATTACGATGAAAAATATGGTAAGCAACTAAGATTTCTTAAGAAGAAGTTTGGGATAATAATCTGCCACTTCCGCTGCAGGAACAATCACTCTGTGACAGAACCTTTAAGCGGACACGCATACGAAGAGGGCAACTCTGCAAAGAACTCTACCCTTTGGTTCGATCTTCCAGCAAGATGTGGTGCAAGGAGCAGCCGGCTCAAGGCATGCCGAATCAACGTGATCACGGGACTGAGCCATGAAGCCCCCCCCCCATTTCGTTCACGTTCCTGCTCGACTTTCTCCCCACTCCAGCTCACGTCCGTTCAGGCAAGATATCTTGCCACAGGCGTGGATACCAGCAAGAAACACTGCCACCCATACTCAACCACTGCATGATAACACACGTCCAAGAATACATAAAAAGACGCAACGGTATACTAAACAAGATGATATCAGGATTGCCATGCGGTCCACACATCGAAACTCCCATCGACCAGACAATGCCATTGGTCAACTTAACCCAGCGTCTGGATATAGTTAATCTGAACTAAACCACGATGACAGAGAATGCTGTATATATTATTGTCTTATTTGAAAATAGATAATGCGACATTTCAGATGGCATAACAAGACATAATGCAACATTACGAACAAATTGAAGCTGCGTTACAGAATCAAAGGTATCAGCAACGTTGGACGTGGTCATAGTTGAGGTAGTCGGTACTTGGGATGATTCAAACGAAGGTTTACGTTATTTTAGACGTGAGATCTAGATTTGTGAAAATGGTGAAAATGCTTTACATAACGGAACTATCACTGCTTCCTGTGAGATGCACAACACCCACAGAGTTTGCAAGAATTTAAACAACACTTCAAGCCTTTCAATCATTAATCCATGAAGACCAGAACAACAAGAGACGATCAAGAAAGGGTGGAGGACCACATCTGACTCAATATTCCGGTTGCCTAGTTGCTAGATGTGTATTGTCCTGAAAGCCCAACCTTTAAATTCCGTACACATTATATAAACTCTATAAACCTTCTGTGAAATTTGCATTGCGTTTGTTGGTTAACAGTCTAGTCAAGAATTTAACAACGCTTTATTTGTAAAATATGCGCCAACTGGAGAGCAATGGCAATGTTTGATTGGTGGATATAAGTGCCTTCAAGCAGACATTTGTGCGCTCCCTGTAAATGAAGCGAAATGCGTTGGAATTAAATATGTCACTACCTATTTGTATTTGGTACCCTGAATCGTGAATCGTTTAACCACCTATCAATACAGCTATGAGTCCAAAATCAAGATCCTCAAGTTTTATTTTGAAAGAGATTTGACCTAATAGATGTCCAACTGATTTTCAGGTGATTCCTAACCTTCCAGAAAGTAATTCTGCCATTTTGCACTATTTTTGTGCTCCAATTTAAATGGAAAAGTTTTGGAGCTATTTTAACGGTCGATTTTCCTTTTCGAATGGCATTTCATTCAGGCAGCAATCTAGATTCTTTCTAGATTTCTCTTTCCCATCCCTCGAAAGAGCCCTCATTTAATGACAACAGTTGCAGCTACGTGAATTGCGTAGCTGGTGGTCTACCAACTTTGACTCCGACCGCTACTAGACGCTTTACATTATTTCAAAGTCGTTATACGGCTCTCATTGTGGGGAAAGAAACTCTTCCAAATACGAATGCGTGAACTTCTGGAATATTCACCAGTTTTCGACTTCTCGTGCAACCAGCCAAAAAAATGAGAATCATTAATGCGTGACTCGATCGCTTGTGGCAGGTTATAGAAAACCGGTATAACGTTGCCATTATTCCTTCTTCTTCTAAGGAATTCTTTTGAAAGATCCTATAAGCATAGAACCCATATGCGGAAAATAAGTAAACACTGACGTCCTTTATCAACGCTAAAGTGGTGGCACAGTTGAACTTTTGTTGCTGCTGAGGAGATCTTCAGTAAACAAATAATGCTGAGCCAACAGATGATCTGATTCCTGTACAACAGGAACCACCTGCTACATAGTTCACGCACAAGTCTTATTATTTGTTCCAGTTAACATTGCTTCAGCTCTGCATGATTATGTTTTTGCTTGGCATGCTAAATCAGGAAAAATCATTTTAATTCTTATTGTTCAGGATGTCGAACGTTCTGAGTGATTCCTACGACCACACCCTTCCTGTATCGCTTGCTGCGCCATTCCAGAGCTCAATTCACAGATTAATAACCATACTTGGCCTAGATTGATTCTTCACGTGACTTTTAGAAAGCGTTAGGTAAAAACTGTGACGACAGGAATAGCTCTTATCGTAGATTATATAAAAAAAATCTCGTTTTCTCTTATATCTAGAGGTCAGCTCCCATTCTTGTCATGCTTCTTTCCTTCTGAACCATAATAAGGGACGCTTATTTTTTAGATTTTTAAAGAGGCATCTGAACGTTTTTTTTCGATGATATAACACCGGATATAGAGGCTGTTGTTAAAGCAACATCGCTGGAAGCAACTTAGTTTTTCAATTTATGACAGAGAAAGGATAAGATAGCTGGTTTCAGGGTGATGGGCTCCGTTTTCATTGTGTGCCGGTCATTAAACGTTATATGCTCCAATATAAGTTCCTCAGAGGTTCAAAACCCGTTACGTCAATGGCTCGCAGTCACAATGTTCTTAACGTGTGCAAACATTTGGCAAACGGTTGACTAACACAGTTAGATAGTTAGTTAACACAGTTACACACGGTTGACTAACACGGTTGACTTAACACAGTCAGGACGACAAACCTCTATCTACTTATATCTTCAGTATGTCGTGCAACGTAGCACTAATCTCTCATTTATGAACATTCATGCATTAATTGCAAAAGAGCCTGAATTATGTCATTTTGTACCGGATTATCCGGATTTACGCGGCAGCTGAATGGGATATATCCTGTGGCTTGGTGTTCGCATCCTCGGTACTACCTGTTTTTACGCAGTTGCCA